CCGGTGCGCTTTGGCACCGCCGACCTCCGCTGTACCGAGCGGCACCGGAGCAGCAGCTGAACGGAACCGGGAGGTTGCAGCTTTCGCTCCCGGCGGGAAGATCCTTCAGCAGCCAGAGCAAGTCCTGAAGGATGCTTTGGGTTTGCTTGGCTGGGAGATGCGGGGAGTGAGGAAACCCCCGGGGCCCTGCTGGCACCTTCCCCGGTCGAAGGAGAGACTCCAAACTGAAGCATCAAACACAGAGCAAAGAGCTGCACCAGCAGCCCCGGCTGCAGGGATCGATGCAGACGAACCGCCCCGTGCTTCTCAAGGGACTGACTCCCAAATCTCAGGATGTGCTTTTGGGCATCTGCCACCCCTCCATTGTGCTCATCCCAGCACCCCAACCTCATCCGAGGTGCCTGCAGCCCCGACTGCTCCTTCCCAGCACCCCAAGTGCCACCTTCCCCCTGCAATCCCTCTGTCCCCTCCAGACATTGCACACGGAGACTCGGGGAGATGCGACGCAGCAGCCTGGTTCTACCAGTCACCTTCACTGTTGCTGGGTTGTCAGAACCAGACGTGGAGCACCCCGGGGTCCTCAGCGGGCCGGAGCAGTGCAGGATTCCAGTGGCAATAAATACATGTGTCTGCTTCACAGCGGGGTGAGCCCACCTTGGCCAACACAGTGTCACCTCCAAGGACAACCCCGCAGCCAGTGGGACTCGGTCAACACCAGCGGCAGAAGGGTCCCAGCACCATCAGGTGTGGTGCAAGAGCAGGAGCTGGTTGGACGCAGATACAGGAGAGCCGGATACAACTCGGCTCCCTCGGGTGGCAGATTCCAGCACTAAATCCAATTTTGCCTGACATTAATCCCAACTTTTCAGTTTGCTGCAGATTATCCTTTGATGACAGCTCGCCGCGTGGGGAAGCTGGGACAGAAAAGCTCTTTCTCTGTTTAATTGACCCCTCTAAGAGACTGTCCCTCCCTTGGCCAAGCACTGGAGCTGGCCCAAGGCGTGGGACACATGCAGGGTGCATGTTCCTGCTCCATCACTGGCACCACATTCCTGATGCCTCGGGGCAGCCCCATCACATTAAATACAACCGGACAATTCCAAATTGGTTCTCCAGCAAAAATCCAAGGCCACGGGATTGGGAACATCATCCCTGCTGGCACCACGCTGGATTGAGGATTTATGTGCACAGGAACCTGAGGTGTGTGTCAGGGACAGGGCTCCCCTGCCCATCCCATCCCCACTCATCCCGCAGACATGCTTCCCCTGGCCAGTTCAAGCCATTCCCCTTGTCCTGTCCCTACATCCCTTGTCCAAAGCCCCTCTCCAGGTCTCCTGTAGCCCCTTTAGGCACTGGAGCTGCTCTAAGGTGTCCCCTTCAGGAGCCTTCTCTTCTCCAGCTGCCCCAGCCCAGCTCTCTCAGCCTGGCTCCAGAGCAGAGCTGCTCCAGCCCTCGCAGCAGCTCCGGGGCCTCCTCTGGCCTCGCTCCAGCAGCTCCACGTCCCTCCTGTGCTGTTCCCCAGAGCTGGATCAGGGCTGCAGGGGGGGCTCCCCAGAGCACAGCAGAGGGGCAGGATCCCCTCCCTGAGCTGCTGCTCACGCTCTGGGGGTGCAGGCCAGCACACGGGGGGGTTCTGGGCTGAAGCACACACTGAAGCTGAGTCACGGGGAGCTTCTCCTCACCCAACACCCCAAGTCCTTCTCCTCAGGCTGCTCCATCCTTTCTCTGCCTCCTTCTTACCCCATTTTCACTGGATACCCAAGAGCTGCACCCGGGTCACTCATCCCAGCCCCTGAGCAGCCAAGTCCGCTCCCATCCCAACATCTCCCAAGCACTTTAACTCCTGCATCCTGGCAGCCCGGGGTGCGCAGCCGCAGGTGGGCCGCTCGGGCAGGAACACAGAACAGCACGGGCTCGTTTTCTAAATCAATACCATTCTTCAAATTTATTTTGTAGGAATTACTTCTAATATCTCTTTCTGACCGGAGGAGGGCTCGGGAATGTTCCCATTCCATCTGTAAACACGGAAATACAGATCTGGGGAGCCAGGGAAGAGACACAAAAAAGTGCATGTTACAAAATTCTCAACTAAAATAGATTTTACGTGTATTACGGCTTCCGTTTAAATTCTACTGACTGCATCTCTTCAGGTTCAAAAAATAGTTCCATATCTAATAGATTAAAAAAGCAGGAAATCTTTTCATTATGGATAAGACATTTCCATTCATTTACATGCTGTTCACACAACAGCATAAGCAACCACGTGAACCTTGACCAACGCTCTCGGCCCGAAGCAGGGTCTAACAGGAGGAGAGGCAGGATTTGTGCCCTCCAGCCCCAGGGCAAGTACAAGTTCTCTTCTACCCGGAGAGGAGCCAGGACTCAGTTGGGATCAGGGGGAAGAGGGGTCAGGGTTGGAGCTGCAGTGGGGTTCTGTGGCTCTAAGGCTGGTTTCAGCCCTGCCCTGTCTGTGCAGCATCGCTCAGGTGGGTCCTGGAGCATCCTGCCCCTGAGGGCGCTTTTCCTGGAGGAAGGCAGCCACAGGCACTTCCCTGATTCAGGCTGGTGTCAGAGAGTCCCTTAGGAGTGAAGAGTGTGAATTTCGGGCTTCCCATCACCTTCCACACCACCGCTGTGCACCACTGCCCCGGGTGTAGCTGCTCGGTCGCCTGATGACCCCTCATCAGCAATGGGCAGGAGCAGCCCCACTCCTCCAGCATCCTCCCTCCCCAATCCCTCTCCCTGCAACATCAGAGACCATTTTCTCCACCACCTCCTCGCTTCCTCATGGCACTTCCACCCCAGAAGTGCTCCCGACTCCCATCCCATCCCATCCCCACCACATCCACAGCCCAACCACCCCCTTCCAAGAGACCACCAGTGCCCAAGTTAATTGTTAAGGAGAAATCTGAGCAATTACTTTGACACTAACAGTATCTTGAGGTATAAATGAGATAAGATGCTTCACCCTCCAATTCCTGCTTGCACACCAAGGAGCAAACCTCCTGGAGCTGGGTATTGTCCCTTGGGCTTTACAGGCAAGGATCAATGGGGCTTTTCCAGCATCTTCTGCAACACTGAGTGGGAATCGTCCATGGACGCCGGGGGATGCCTGCCCTGCTCGCCCGCCGTGTCGCCTCCTCTCCAGTCATCGTCTTCTAGACACGTTCCCCTCTTTGGTATGTAGAGCAGATCTCTGGAGAACTCCTGGGTTAAACCACTTCCATGTCATGGTCTTGCTGTGGGGTTTTCTCTCCAGGCCAGGCGGGGCACAGTGGTCAGAGCCAACGAGCCCAGTGAGCTGCATCCATGAGGAGTCCAGGTAGTGCTGCTTCCAGCGGCAGGACAGCGTTAAAGCAGTATGAACACTTCACACGAGTTCAGGAGCCCCAGAAGGCTGGAAGGATGCAGATCCCGACTTTCAATGTGTGACTCCAGGCAGCAGGAACATGGGCTGAGATGGTGTCAATCCTCCTCCTTCACGTTAGTGCAATCGAGAAGCCCAGCTTGGTGCGAGTGACTCGGACTGTGACACTGTCCTTTGGTTTGCTTTAGCATCGACTCCAACAGTTGGTGTGAAGATAAACCAAGGTCTGTGTAGGACCTGTACACGTAAGGCAAGAGGCAATATCTGTGGGGCTCGGGCTGCATGTGCCCATGCGAACCTTCACCAATGCTCAGTTCCTTTCCGAAGCTTGCTCGGACATCGGGATGGGTCTGGAGGGGGAGAGCTCCAAGGCAGCGCTCCCGATGGCTTCCCAGGACACCCGGGGCAGGACAGTCACTGAGGGGAGGGGGTGATATTGAAATCAGCCAAGAACACTCAAGGAAAGGGTTTGTCATTTCCCCTCCAGCTGCTTCACACTGGAACCACGTGGGGTTAAACTGGGACTGAAAATGGTGTCACAGGGAAACAAACTGGGAAGAGGGAGTAAACCCTCTTCTACCACTGCGGCCCCTGGAGGAAGAGCAGCAGCTGGAACGGAACACATGGTTCTCAGCAGCAGATCCCACTCTGTGAGCTCCCAGCTTCAGACCCGATCACGGGGCAGGAGGTTCTCTGGGATGAGGTTGGGCGTCCTGACGGGCCCAGCTCTCTGTAACACTGCTCTGGGATGTGAAGCTTCTGATCCTGCAGCTCCCTCTGCTCTGCCATGGGGCAGGTCTCCAAGCCTGGCTGCCAGGCCCCAGTCCAGGCGGTGAAACACAGAACAGGGAGACGAGGGAGGAGAAAGATGAGGGAAAACAGGGTCATCTCGTCCTCTGATAGAGCAAAACCCATTCAAACATGACACAAGGCCACCGCATCCAGGCAGCTTCCAAAGCAACGGCTGTATTTTGAAGCAGCTCTCACCCACTGGGAATCCTCACAGCAGGACAAAGGGGACTCTCCTGTGCTCTGCCAGGGTCTCGGTGGTCCTGCTTCACATCAGGGCACTGAAACACGGAGCTGTCACAGCTTGACTTGTCCAACGCACCACAGCATCCCTCCTGCACCTCTGCACCGTTCCCACCAGTGATGGCTCTGCATTCAGTTTACTGGCTTTCATCCCCTGCAAATCCCTCCCAATATATGCATCTCTAGATACATATATAGATATAGATTTACATATGCAAGTACCTATATCTATATACATATATTTATTTTATACGTATATATTCATTTATGCTTTTAATGAAGTGCTGTGCTTTCGACTGCTGCCTTCCTCCTCAGGGATCCGCTCCTGCGCACGCGGCTCAGTCTGAGGAACGAGCGCTGGTCGCTCTCGTCTGCAAGCAGCACAAGGGAGGGCATCAGGAGCACTCGGGTATCCCGGATCA